GCGGCAGGAATTTCTCGGTAGAAGGGGGGTGCCACTGGTACTTTGTCCTGCTGGGGGACGCCGGGTACCTGAGTGTTGGTGGCCATGGTAGTTCGCTAGGTGGAGAGATAGGGGACGCAACAAAGTGTAACGGCACGGTCGGGCAAGGCTCCAGGTAGCGAAGCCGGGCTGGGGATCGGGTTCTGGGTTCGGTAGAGGCAAGACGGGTTCAGGGGACAAGGTGAGGCAGGACTCAGTGCAGACGGCAACTGAGAACAGAGGCAGGGACAAGGACTACGGCGCAGACGGCAGCCGAGGCAAGGACAGAGGTAACAGTGATTGAATTAACAAGTTGTTGCGTGATGAACTAAGTACAGAGGGGCAACGGCCCGTTTATATAGGAAACCCTCCACTTCTTCCCGCAACCTGACAATGACCGTGGGCGTGTGCCAGACCCTGAGAAATCCACCTTGCAAGTACCCCCACTTCCGTGACTCATACCCTGCGCAGCCGCACTACCCCTGCTTCCTGCACACAGCCCCAATCTCCTGCGACTGATTGCTCCGCTATCCCTGCTCCCTACACACAGCCCCAAATCCTCTGCGACTCATCCTTGCACTGCCGGTGCACTGCCTCTGCACTGCCCCCCAACTCTCCCGATCCTTGTGCCGACCCTCCCTTCGCCATTCCATCGCGAGCCGTGACATTGGGGCTGTTTGCAAGGAGCAGTGATAGCGCAGGAGTGAGTCGCAGAGGATTGGAGCTGTGTGCAGGAAGCAGGGTTAGTCCGACTGCGAAGGGTATGAGTCACTGAAGCGGGGTGATGGCCAGGTGTATTTCCCAGGGAGTGGCACACACCCACGGTCATTGTCACGTTGCGGGAAGAAGTGAAGGTTCTGCTATATAAATGGGCCGTCGCCTCTGTGTACTTAGTTCTTCACGCAACAGCTTGTTGATTCAATCACTGTTACCTCAGTTCTCACCTCAGCTGCCATCTGTGCCGTAGTTCCTGTCTTCACCCTTGTTTCTCGGTTGCCATCTGCACTGAGTCCTGTCTTGCCTCCTCTCCCAATCTTGCCTCGCCCTTGTCCAACCCAGTTCCTGTTCACCTACCCACCCATCTCCGCTACCTGGAGTCCAGCCCGACCGTTCTGTTACACCAGAGCATCACCCAAAGGGCATTTGCAACAGAGTTCCCTACGACACAGTTTTCCGATCACGTGCTTAGGTGTAGGTGTAGACTATATGGTTGCTGGACTAGTGTCACGGAAAAACTCAACACCAGCACAACCAGAACACTGAACAACTACCGACGATACCCCTCAAAATTATGCCGCTGTGAACTATCGAAATCCCTCACTTTTATTCTATACTCGATATCAATCAATACTCTGACATCCCGAAACCGTTTCAGTCTCACAACTCTGACGTGCCGAAACTGTTCCAGTCCCGCATAATGCGACAAGCAGAGCACCGCAATGCAAAAGCGAAGAAGGCACAAAATGACTTCTGTGCCAATCACCTATAGGTTCAGTATACAAAGTATCTGAAAATTTGTGAATTTCCAGACCCATCCAAGAGTTGCTCGCCCTAGAGATCTATGAAGTTAGAAAACGCACACCTAGCTTTGATGAGACTTTTTAGATGCCATTGCAGGCATATTCAAAGCTCCTTTCTTTTCATAAATAATATGTTTTACAAATTTTCTATAGATTTGCTCGGAAACATCTTCTACTATTCCGGCATATTTTCTAATTGGACCATAGCTTGAAAGTTCTTACCCAACAGCGATGGCAGCTACATGCTTCGTTATTTATAAGACTGTTGAGAGAGTATTGGTGGTACCTGAAGAGATACCGCAGACGGATACTATCCGTCTCAAAAGTGTTCTCCAACTGAGAGAGTTGGATGAGTAACTGAGGCAACAGCTGCACACAGCAGATGAAATGATGGAGGCAAGTTGGACCGATGAAGAAAATGATCGCACGGTAGTGGAAAATTGGATGGAAGTTGTCATAGAAGTTGTTGAACCTCTTACACATGTATTGCCGAAGGAAATTTTCAAGAACCACGGAAGGCCTTGAGAGTTATAATTGTGTACATAAATATGATAGAGTTTCTTGTCTCCTCCTTTCTCCTCTCGTCGCCGGGGGTGCAATAGAAGTTCTCGCCGTTGCGTGCAATTGAATTTCTCGTCGTCGCGTGCCAAAGTTTCTCGTCGCTGGACGTGCAATGGAAGTTCTCGAAGGAACCGCATTGCCCATGGCCGACCAGCAAACAACGTCACACCCAGGTTACAAGACGTGTACCTTGGGGATCCCAACGAATGTCTGGTCGAGGGAAACAGATGGATACTGACTGCTCTAGTCCAGCAAATCCTCGCCCTGGAGGGCACTCTGTCACCGGGCCCTAACACTGTTCTGTCCCGACAGAAAACTCCCATGCCTGCGCTGGCATACTTTCGGGGATACTCTCCGGAGAGCTCTCTGACAAGCTCGCGGGCATAATCTTGCGCGTACTCGCGCATTCTCGCCGGCATGCTCTGGACTGGACTCTCGGTCAAGTGCGATGGTCGGCTCTTGGGTGTGCGGATACACAGAACCATCTAGATTGGTAGCGCATGGGAGACTCGGAGATTCCAGTACTGATACCGTCATGCAGAGTGCCATAGCTAAGGGAACATGAAGGCGCGGATTCGCGGAACGCCAGCGTGGCGCCCCGTCAGAACGAGTCAAACGCGGAAGGACCTCAATACGCGCTGGAGGCAAACGGTGATGACAAGTTCCCCCGACAAGATGCCATCCACTGGTGATCTGGAATGGACCGACGATGGGGCATTCATAAAGCTTTGGGTAGGCCTGGAAGCAGTCCATCCGAACGGAAGACGATTGAGGGCCCGGCGACACGGTCTCGTCCGGGGCGATGAGTTGTCAGACTAGCCCGGTCCTGTCCTGTGTCAAAAAGCCTGGGCCTGGGAATGTTCAGTGCGGAAGCGGCTGGCTACTACATCGGTATCGGCTTTCCCACAACCGCACTTCGTTCGTTTCATCATGGTCTACTCCCTCGTTTCAACTCCTGTGCAGCTTCTTTCTTCTGAAACCCGAAATGGTCTTTTTATTTCGCCGACCGTGCCCCGTTCTGGCCAGTGGCGGCGGGGCCCCCCGCTGGATATGTAGGTTGCGATCGTAAGGAAGCTCTACCATGTCGATGACCTCTAGTTTCTCTAAAAGCGTTTCGTTTTGCCGGACGCTTTGTGTTTCGTGCGCACTGTTTCTGTGGCAGTATTCGCTATCATCTAAAAGTGGTGCGAACCAATTCATGCGCTGCGACCGGGGGTTGCAAACCACTCCTTAATAGCAATCGAAGCAACATCGTTCAGTCGTTTCTGGCTCAGTACAAATTACACATCACCACCTCCATCCATTAAAACTGAACGGGGAAAACACTGCGGTCGTCGACCGTCGACCGTCGCCAAACGTAAATGCTGCGTTTGGCGTGGCGCCCCGTCCAAGCTCAATTTCGACTTTACCGGTAGGTGTACCCGTTGGGAGGTGATATATAGGCGATAATAGTGTTCCTCATGTCATATCCCCCCTTCCATTTAGACGAATCTACACAGCGCAATTCCGCCTTCTCTCTCCGACCGGCATTCGAAGAAACTAAAATCCCGACATGCAGTGCAAACCACGCTTCCCAGCGATCACTTACCTAACCCAAAACCTACCTTGGCACCCAGTCGGCGAAAAACACCCCACGTTTCGCCGATACTATCGATCCCTGAGTTAATCCTCCATACGACGAGATTCGCTTTCATATCATCACCGATCCCCCGCCGAACCGAGCCTGCCTCCCAAGTAGGTGATCTTGTACTTCCCCAACCTCACCCATCGACCTTCCGGGCGGCGGTTGCGGTCGCAATCCTGTGCACCGGATCCGTAGCCGAACCCTGCCAGGCATCGTCATCAAGGGCTGTTGAATATACTGGTACAGGCAGCAAGCAAGTAGTTGCGATATCCCTCTAAGTACGTTGTCGTCGTAGGAAGGCGTGAGATGTTAAACATGTAGTGTTTCCGTTGCTGGGGATGGGAGTAAGGTGTGGATGTTCGGGTTGATTCTATCTTGAAAGCCTTCTCGAAACTGCAGAAGAAACATTGTACTCGCGGAATAACAGATTCAGTCATACCGTGTGTACAATAAAAGCGGGGGCGAGAATTCTGGATAAGCGGGCCCGGCAGATCATGGAGGTCCTGCAGAACGTTAACCAATGTGGCCGCACGGCGCAAGCGATGAAATTGCAAGCTAGACGAGGGAGCCAGCGAAGTAATTGAATGTCCATTCGGAGAGGCTGATGGCAATCTGTTGATGAGCGACGGGCGTCAAAACAACTGATCGCTGAGTCTGAAGAACGTTTTCGTCTCGAGATCGTTACATAGTAATGACCGTTAGATGACACGCGAATAAAAGGTTCTCGCCTTAACTTGCTGCGTTACCGAGAGTTTAATAGTTGACTCTGAATATCTATAACTACTACTGTATGTGATGGCTAATGAATCCTCCAGCTCTTCCCACAGTCAATATCTCCATTCAGTCTCCAGTCCGGGCCATGCTATGCGTGGTTATAGTTCAAACAGCCGAACCCAAAGCCATCACTATCTCAACCACACGATCCGATGATTTTCCTACGTGCAGGTTCCCTTCATATTAACTCTCAGAGTACATTCTCAGAAGCTGCCAGCTATCTTTGCCACCCGTTCACCAGTGCCGCTGTCAAACCTCATGGCTATGGCCACCCCCAGATTAAATATGCATGCCCCCGCAAAGCCGAATAGTCCGAGTCAACAGTTCAAAATGCAGCCAGTGGAAGGCGATTCTCTTTCGGCACCCCCAGTCATCCGTTCGTTCTCTTGCCTTCCTAATATTCTCTTGACGAGAAAATAAAAAGCATTTCCTCTTTCGCTATTTTCTTCTTCTGACAGTACGTACAAGCAAACATGAGTGGCCACCGCAAGAATCGCTCCTCGATGGAGAAGTTTGACGCAACGGCGGTCCATACGGAGGTTGTTGAGCAGCTGAAAGAGCAGGCTCTAGGGACCGTTAGGCTGTACGATGAGAACAATACTTTGAGGCTCATTCCCGTGCCAACTGATGATCCGAATGGTATGCGCAGTGGTGGGGGTCAGTGATGATGATACGGATAGCTGACGAACTTGAAAAAGATCCCCTTAACCTCCCCATGTGGAGGAAACATATGATCCTCGCCACTATGATTCTTTGTAAGTTTCCGGCACCTACCAACTGCACTACAACGGCTTACCAACTATGATACAACACAGATGGTGTCGCTGGATTGACCGCGGTTGCAAGTATCGGTGGCATCATTCCTATCCTGCAGCTACAGTATGGAGATCCCGTCGAAGTGTTGGCCGCATTGTCCGCACCCGTTCCCGGTTCCTCAAAACCCGCGGTTGTGAACACGGGAGGCATGTTTTCTATCCCGGTCCATCAATCGTATCATTATCTATGCTAAAAATATACTAGAGCCTGCCGTAATCATTGGTCCGGCAGTCAAAGCCCGCTCAACCTCTGGCATCGACCTTGACTTTTCCCTTCTTCCTCGTGCAGGGCAGCTCGGCGGAATGTCAATGCCGGACCTTCCCCCCGGAATCGACCTCACCAAGCCTCCGCCAGGCGGCTACAAATCAATCGCGACCATTTCTCTTCTTGGCTCGCTTCCCTCCCTCTTCATGGGCATGTCCAACTTTATCACCGTCCCCCTTTGCCTGGCAATTGGACGCCGCGCAATCCTGTGCATCCTGATGACTCTCACCACTGCGTGCATGATCTGGGCTGCGCTCTCGAAGAACTTTGATCATCATCTGGCCGCGCGATGCGTCATGGGAATTGGTGCGGGAAGTTTCGAGTCGTTGAGTCCATTGGTGCTGCATGACGTTTATTTCGTTCATCAGAGAGGCAACGTAAGTACCATTCCGATTTCCCGGGCGAGGACGTTTGCGGGCGATCCTGATGTTTATAGGCGATCGGGGCTATGTGGACTTTCTCTGCGGCTATCAGTTACCTATTTGGAGTTATGTCTTCGAAGATCGTCAACATGGTCGGCTGGAGGTGGCTTTATGGAATCTTTGGCATCCTCTCTGCACTCGGAACTGTTATGATGATCTTCTTCGTCCCGGAGACACGATATGTTCGTGCCATCCAGCAAATCGGTCTGTATCCCCTGGCAGTACTAGTTTGGCATTCATTAGCTGACTCCCATAGATGGCGAACTCATCGATACCGATGCGTACGGAAACATCCGCGTCATCGGCAAAGTCACCGACACCAACAGCACAACCAACATGGTAGCGCGATCCCCCTCTCTTGGGTCGGACAGCGGGTACAAACCACGCAGCTGGGCAAATGACATGAAGTTTTCCCACGGCAACGTCAACTGGGCCAACTGCTGGACCTGCTACCGACATATGCTCAAAGCCGCTTTTCTTCCCAATATCGCCTGGGTGGTGATCTTGAACTCGATCTGTATCGCGATATCGATCAGTTCTTTAATGACTTATGCACAGCCCCTTATGGTATGGGAGAAGGGTGGGCCGTGGACTGTAGATAATCTGGGGCTGTCGACCTTGGCGATGCTACCCGCCTGCTTTTTATCGTTCTTTCTATCCGGCTGGGGTATGGATTGGATCTCGAAGCATATGGCAAAGAAAAATGGCGGTATCCACGAGGTACGTAGTTCTCGCTCCCTGATCGCCCGCACTCCAGCACTGATTCTTCTACCAGCCCGAGTCTCGTCTCCCCTCCCTGATCCTCCCTTCAATCTTCACCGTTATCGGCAGTGTCATATACGGAGTGTCCAGCGCCCACACCGACCAGTACCATTGGGCGATCTCCCTACTTGGTGCATTTTTCCTCAATTTCGGGTTTCTCTCACTGAACACCTCCCTCTCGGTCTACGCAGTTGAATGCTACCCTCGCTGGGCAGGGTACACACCCCACTCCCTTATTCGGCTCATTCACTAACAAATATCAATAAATAGTCCTCTTCTCGTAATGGTCTGCGCCCTCCGCAACGTCGTCGGTTTTGCCATGAACTTTAAAATTGTCGATTTCATCAATGCGTGCGGATACGACGGCGCGTTTGGAATCTACGCTGGTATATTTGGTGGTTTTGCGCTTATCGGTATACCTATTTATGTTTGGGGCAAAAGGTTGAGGGAGTGGTCCGCTGGGTGGGCTGGGTTGGCGTAGTTAGAGTGAGTGCACGTGATTGGTGGCAACTGATGGCTGATTTACTTTTTTCTACATCGCGGATGTGCTTTCGAGTCGGTCTTTGTTGTCTAGTCGGGGAAAGAAGAGCTGGGATTTGCGGTTCGTGTCTTTTGTATCGCTTCGCTTTGATTTGATTGAAGAGATGCTGTCGACTTCATTCATTTCAGCCCAATGTATCGCTACTATGCAGCACGTCTGGAGTCGTACAGGCCAGCTGCGAGTTTTCAGTTAAGCCGTGGCCTAGATGCATATTAACTAAAATCGAAAACGAGACCACGCAGATGAATTCCTGCGGCGAGGTGTCTTTCCACTGGAGGTCCTTCTTGGGTGGCGGTGACTGACGGCCCGGTGGAGTTGGCAGTGTTCACGCAACGGGAACCGTTCGGGACCTCGGGCTCTCCTCCTGGACACCAAACTCCCGCGTTTTCTCAGCACTCCCGGCATGGATTTTGAATGCGGAAGCGGAGGGAACCCCTTCAAGTTGCGTTTTACGCGGTGGTCGTCGGGGGCGTGGGAGGACTCACTGTTCCTCGTTAACATGTGGTAGACTCGTACGGGAGCGAAGAGAAATGGCGGCGCGGGAACCCAAGATCCTTCGCTTCTGATTGACTCGGCAACGCGGACTCTTCAAACAGCGAGGACACCGGTACCGCTGAGGCCACAGAGACGCCCCAAGATCTCCTCGCGACACTCACCTAGGTAGCAGCAGATGGCTAACTACGTGTTCGGAGCTGTGACGGGGCTCTTGGTCCATGCTAGATGTTTCCCAGTCACGACATGTCTTGTTTTCAAGTAGTAGAAACGAGCCGCAAGCCACTTTTAGGTTTCCGCTACTACTTCGTCTGCCTCCTGCTTGACCGTGAGCAGATATTTGTAACCTCGCCGACGATGCAACTCGGTTGTTTTGGATGTGGGCCTGACAACGAGGAGGGCGGCAGGAGCAAGACCGAGAAATCGCACCTGAACTAGCCGAAGCGAATCTCCACGGAGTCCGGACACCGGAAGTACCGGATGTAGGAACGGGAGCATCGAGGCCACTGCGTTGTGGTGCCAGCGTCGCGCAGCAGAGACCGCGCGGTGTCCCCTCACTCGTTTAGCCGGGGGCGAAGATATACCTACGTACTAGCTATAGTCATGTACTAGATATTTGCCCGCGATCTTATGGTCCTACGGTTGGTGGCTAAGAGGATTTGGGGATTTGGGGATTTGGGGATGCGGAATACGTCCGTCCTGTGCTGACGTTGAACTGCTGGATAGGTATACTAGCTATCTAACTTTCCGTCGGTGATGGTGTACTCTACCCCTACGTTATTGACCACCGCGCAGCGGAGCCCCCACCACCTTAAAATCTTCGAATTCAAGTATCCATCACGGAATGGTCTAGAGGTCAACTACATCCTTCTTACCTAGGCCACGCAACCGGCGAGGGGAGCTGGGAGAAAGTTCCGGGTTCCACATGTCACAACTAGCGATCCGGCGGTATCTATTGAATGGGACACACACCGACAATGCCTCCAGCCCGTATCATGGATAGAAAGCGCCGGCTTTGTAACTCTTTCTTTCTGTCGGGTTAAATGGAGATGGTTGGACGGGGAGGGAGCAGGGAGGGTTGACTTACGGGGAGGGCAAGGCGCAGCGCAATATGGAACCGGTATCGAGCTCGCGGGCACCGGCTAGGGGTAACAGCCGGGTGGAAGCGGATATGTAAGCTTGCATGATCTAGCGCAGTCGAAAGCAATGAAGATTACCCTTCAAAAAACCAGCAGCGAATACCGTGCCACGTGCCGAGTGACATCTAGTGCTCCCGCAATCGCTGATGCCAAAAAACCACCACCACCCCCGGCGGATGGCTTCGACAGACAAGCAAGCAATGTGGCAAGCGCTGTTTGTACAGGGTCTGGTAGGCACACAGGGCTGCCGCGCAGCAATATAGGCCCTACTAGGGCGCGCTAGGGATAAATTCTTCTCTGGATGGGCGATGTGCTCCGGTTTGGGTAACTTTCTCTGACGGCCGCTCGGGTGTTGGGAGTCTCACTTTCATATTTCTTGGTGTGTAGGTTGCGTCTACGCGCACTTCCGCGCTTCATCGTATCTGTCCTCCGATGTGCCGACTGTGCGCGTTTCCGTTATGAATCTTTCATGCTTTTATTATCACTGTGAATTCTATGGTTCTTCATCAATTGTGACGGCCACTGCTCCAAATTCTTAACGGTATCCAGTAGTAAGTAATGGCTGGGGACGTATATCCGAGGACTGTATACGATCAATTTTTTCTGCACAGACGAAGTCCTTATCCGCCGTACTATCCCAGCCCTTGCTGGAGCCGACTTTATATCCCGAAGGGCCTGCTAAAGGCCGCCGGCCACCGTTTTGCCGCTTGCAACCGGTGAGGATGTTCACCAACGGGGTTTGTGCGAGTGATATACTATGATGGGCTTGCTTCGGTGCTCTGGCCTAATAGACTCAAAACTCTTTGGACAGTGCCAGTAGTCTTATCATGTCCATGATAAGATCTACGGTTGATACGAAAGGCTCACGCGAGTCAGACTTTGAGGCGGACATCGGGAGTAGAACCTGATCCCTAATTCAAGCCGATCTATGACTTTAGTTTAATACTTGTTTGTTGTTAGTCATGTGAACCCTGATTGGGGTAGCAAGCACATAGACTAGTGAAGCTCAAAGGGCTCCTTCAAAGCTGATGTAGTGTGAAAGGATCAAGTGGCTTTATCTAGGCTTTGCTATTGATATGAAAATATTGCACTGGAGTGCGACATCTTATATCGAGTGACAATGTATGCGCAACATCCGAAAACTCTTCCTAGACTCGTCTCTTCCTGCGCGACCCGGGCTTCGATACACGCAGTCTCCGTTGTTCTTCTACAAAAGAAGGTTTTCTCGTAAGTTATAAAAGTGATGTGTCGCCGCTTCTGCTCTCATCGACGTGAGCCCCGCTTCACTACACTTAGGGAAATCGACCACCACTCACGCATTGCTTTTCAGAGCCAAAACGGAGGCAAAATTGTAGCCGTGAGTAGAAGTAATCATCGGACGTGTTAGCATGAAGACCTTTAGGTCTGAATGCGCATATTACGACGAGATGTAGCCATTGATCACTGACACCGCCATGTACCATTTTTACTCGCCACCGCGTTTATCAGGCCACCAAGCCAGCCCAACGCGACACCATCCTAGGCTCAAGGAGTGAAGATCTTGATACAGGATAAAAGTAAGTACCCCATTCTCAATGTACCCACACGTACTTGGATTATAGCCAGAGTTTGAGAGAAAAGGACTACCCACTCTATGTCACTCGACCCCACAGCAACCTAGCCTCGTTTCGGTTACAGAACACCCTACACTGAATTTCGAGACACCCGAGTCGAAAGCGGCATGTATGAACAGTCATCGGCATAGTTAGTGTAGTGCAGTGTAGTACTCAGCATCGCATCCCCTCATTCCTTGACCGCGTACGATTTCCAGCCGACTTGCACCCAGCCGCACGCTGCAAGGCAAGGCAGAAACCCCCACTCGCGCGCTCCAGCAGCTCCAATCACCAGCCAGCGCTACCGTCTATTACGACCAATCACAGAGCGGCGAGCCCGAGGCCCCCCGGCCCGTGTCTGACAGGTCAAGTGATAACCACGCGGGACACTCCAGGGCGCTGCCAGGCTGGCCTAGGCGGCAGTGCTCGACAGGGCGGCGGTTACAAGCTTACATATAGCTGCTGATGCATGTGTTGATCTCACCCACGGAGGTCTCTGCTCGCTGCGTGTCTCTGATTGCGTGAACTCCGAGAGTATGTGGAGACGGAGTCTGTGGGGGTGGGGGGGAGATGGTCGGTGACTTGTCGATAAGGCGTCCGAGGGCCGTGCTCGGTACGGAGGTACGATTTGGTTTTTTATGCCTAGGTGTACAAAGATTATGTGATGGATTCGGAAATGCCTCAACAATTTTTTGGGGGGGATCCGGACGCACGAGCAAGGGGATCCGAGGATGGTGATTTTGTGATTGGCCGGGGACACCGGAGGGCAGGTGGAGATTTTGCGGTGGCGAATGAGTGGAGTTCTTTCTTGCAGGGAGTCATCTTAGAAATGGGGAAATGTTACTGGCTGATCTACGTCCCAGCGTGGAAAAGGGTTTTTATTTTCGGAGCAAATGAATTTCATGCCGGATCACTCGGCTGGGCTAGATCCCCGACCGACTGCAGCCGTATGACTGTGCTCGGCTACTCTGTGTCTTCCCGTAGTCATTCAATGGGCGGAGTTGACGGGGAACCTCGGTCATCGAAGACAGCACAACCACCCGCGCTCGCAATTGCGGAACGGCACGGGCTAGCTAGTACTTCCGCGCAATATCTGTCACGATCACAACCGTATCAAGTCGGTCAGTGGAGATCCGACGGCCATCTTACAAGATACTTGGCAGCTGTATTCATCATTGCAGAAGCCCGATTTTCGGTCTATCCCTTACTAACCCCAGAACTACTTATCCTGTCCGTAGCTGGAGAAATTGTCGCTGCGCCAGGCCGAATCTTGATTGACTACGTTGTATGTTTCAGTTAAGTCCGGTTAACGGTTGCACATATGATCAGATCAGACCAATTCCCAGAGAGTAGCAGCAGTTCAGCAAGCCGTGAAGCTGGAAGTGTCTCACCTACAGGTATGTAGCTTTCGCGATGATCCTTCCCATCGTTCCGGTTACCACAACCCTCTTTGTCAGTCTGCGATCATATCCGCATATATCCCCAACTCCACGGATGATGGCCATTTATCGGGTTTCTCAACAGCAGCACAAGTACCTACTAGGTACTCCGCAGGCTGAAAGCTACAACCCAATCACCCAAGTCGGGGATCCGAAGATCACCGAGCTCTTGCTGGATTCCTCCGGTAAGTGAAGGTAAGCACGTAGTGGATACGATGGCGTCTATGTCGCCGAGTCAAAGTCCAACATCTCCTAATGGCCCAAGTCCGTCGCGGCAA